ACCTGAAACCAGGGGAAAAGAAAGGGAAAGAAAGAAAAGAGAAAGAGAGAAAAAAAAAGAAAAAGATAAAGATAAAAAGCAAAAACAGAACAATACAAAAAAACAGAATATGATCAAATATGATCAGGCTAGTGCATAGATCAGTAGAGTTTGGGTGTGTTTTTTTCTGTTAGAAAAAAGTGCCTCCTAAAATTTTAAAGGAAGAAAGGCTTATCTATGTACAAAATAAGGGTTGATGCAATGAAGGGATGGAAGATGACTCTAAAGATGAAAATTATAAAAGATTTTATAAAAGGAATTGATAAGAAGTTGTTTGAAAAAAGAAAGAAGATTTAAAAGAAAAAAGAGAAAAAAAGGGAGAGAATGTGATCAGGCAGGAGAGTAGAACAAAGCCATACACTAGTGATTTAGGGTATATTTTGATCTGTTAGAAGAAACTGTATCTCAAAATTTTAAAGAGAGAACAACTTATATATATATGCCAAAAATAAGGGTAACTACTATGAAGGGATAAAATATGACTCTAATAATGAAAAATAAAAAATGTTTTTTAAAAATGGATTGATAAGATGTTGGTTGAAAAAGGGAAAAATAAAAATTAAGAAAAAAACAGTTAAAAAAATTAACTTTGAAAAACTAATGAATCATGGTAAAAAAAAAGCCATGAATTCTATGTGCAGTATTCCCCTAGCGCTGGAGTTCTCCCGTTCTCCTTGATCGGTAAACTTGGTCTTGGCTTGCTGGCTGTTCCTGCTGATCTTCTGGGGGAGGGCCTGTTGCCGTGGTTCCCAAATGTCTTTGCCGGAGGCAGAATTGCCCCGCCCTTGTCGGTCTGGGCTAAGCAAGCTGCTCGGGTTTGCTCTCAGGAGCTTTTGTTCCCTGCAAGCTCTCGATACAGCTTTGGAGGACCAGGGTGCAAATGGTGGCCTCCCCATCTCTGCCCGGGAGGAGCTGAGAACTCGGGGTCCCGCTCCTCAGTGCGCCCCCAGAGAAAAGCAGTCAGTCACTCCCATCACCCCGGTCTCCGGCTGCACTCCGTGCTCACCCGGCCTGTGACCGAGCGTTTCTGTCTTTGGCACCCGACCCCGTGTGGAGTCTCCAAACCCAGCAGATCCCTGCGGTGCGCTCCCGCGCTGCTCCTCCTGGGGGAGGAAGGGGAGTCTCCCCG